CGTGTAAGTTGGAAAACCTAACTAAATCTTTAGACTGTAGACATAATCCAATTATTTATTTATTTATTTATTTATTTATTTATTTTGATAAATAATCCAATTATTATAAGAAACCTGTCAATGTATCAAATCTCATAAAACCATACCATTAAGTATTTCCTGCCCCCTTCCCACCTAAGTTGAGTTTCTGACATTGTGTGAACGTTCCCTCTTATTCTTCCCCTGATGAAATTACTAAGTAACCAAAGTTGGTGCTCTAAATCAAAAGAGCAACAGATTCCGATTCATGCATCCTGAATTGTAAACGAGAAGGCTACTTACAGTTTGTGATTGAGACTAGAAAAAACCAGCTAACAGCAAATTATTAAGATATCTTAGCCGATACTAATTGCATGGATAAAAAAATCTAATGTAGGCATTCAGTAATTTGAGAAGATTCAAACAACAAAATTAAAATCCAAGAAAATATAAAAACTAAACACGTATGGTACAAATCATTTCAAGAATGAAAAGAAAACCAAAAATAAGGATCAAAATTTTATCATGGTGTGTTGTTTCAATAAGCACAAAAAAAGGAAACATTTCAAAACCATTTTAGGAAGCAGCATAAAGAATTTAAAAATAAAAGGAAATGTTTAGAAATATAAAATTAAACCTGTAAATATGTATAAAAGCCAAATAATTGATTAATTGAACATAAATGAGGATTTGTTCACGTAAAAGCACAGGCATAAATTCAAAAAGTAAATGTTGATTTGAACAAGAAGTCAAAAATATTAATGATATCAAACATAGGATATAATAACTAGTATTGATTTAAGGTCCTTACTCTTTATATGAAAAAAACATAATACTACAAAAAACCATTTTGAAAAATTCTAGATTCATGTCCACACAATTGTTTCAACATGTTTCGATGAGTTTTGTCAAATTGTTCTTCGTCATTTCAATTTCCCATAAAATTTTGTTCACTTGCTTCTCCGCCCATTCTTAATGGAACTGCAATAAAAATTGTTCAATCTATGCTAAAGCTTGCAGAATAGCAAAGATCACGGTGACTCGGATTAGATTACAGGATATACCCTGAATAAATCTCCGTGTAATTTCAGACTTTAATTACTACCTGCCACTATCATTATAGGAATTCATAAGTTACTACTTCATAAAGCAATCAAAGAATAAAGAATGTAAACTGAAAAACTACACGCAGTAGTCCCTGCACTTACTCCCTCCTTTAAGTTCCATTGGCTGCCCATTTGAACCCACCATACTTATGTGCCTGCCATTCATTCCATCTGACACTCTTGGACCAAATTTTCCGGCCATGTTGGCAACAGTACTTGAAGAGTTATGTGGAACAGAAATATTGAAATTATCCTGACAATCAAGGAAGGAATGAGGATGGAAGCTTGGAATGCATTTGCTTTTTACTTGATCCACGGAGTGGTGGGATTTATGAGAGCCAAGGTGATTCACAGCAGATGCCACTCTCAACGGAGAGGGCAAAGAGTTTGGGACACGAGAACTCCCATGGCTCAGTGCATTTTCGGTTAATCCATTAAGAGGCACATGGCTTGCAGAATGTAAGCCCTGGACAGATCCATTATCATAGCAGCCAACTGTTCTATCTCCATGATAAAAAGTTGCTGTAGAAGATAGTGTGCAGTCAGGAAAAAAGAGAAAGAGGAAAAATTATATAACTTATGCAGAAAACCCTATCAGCAAGAACCCTACACATGCTTTCTGATGTTGAAATGTCACTAGAGCTTCTGGACAGACCAGAATTTAGTGCCTCTTCTTTTGTAGGAATTCAAAGGGTTTTAGCTTCATAGGTAACAGATCACCAAACCCTATAAAAATTTAAAATGAAAACATAAGAGAATCAAATTTGTCATAAAAAATTCTCTACTAGACAACTCAATTGAGAAAGAAAAAAAAAATGGCAAACAACAAGAATTTACCAAATAAATGCTTTCTATATGCATTTGAAACCTCGGGATCCTAAGTTGTATAAAGACAACTAAATCATAGTACTAAAGAATGAACTAATTGTTTCTTTCACTTTGCTTTTACAAGAAATAGTACCATCAAAATGAAAACCACTTGTTTACCAACAAACAACCAAACATAACTTTGGTTCCTGAGAAGTAGGTATGCAATATAAATATACATAGCTTTTCGCACCTCTAACTGTCTCTTCAAAGTTCGCATATTCATTTCTTTTCACAAGCACCACATTACACACAAAAGTACTACCATCCATTCTTTTTTCTCTCTCTCCATCCTACGTCCTCATCCCAAAACTCAAATAACTTGAGAACGGAAACCAGCATCAACCAATGAATATCAAAGTAGAAAATAGAAGACACCATAACTCCAAGGCATCGTCACAATGCATTAACAAATCATCTACTGTCCCCTCTACTATACAGCACATGTAACACCTCTTTAGAAGTCCAGATCCTCTCTCTTCATCAAATTATCAATAGTAAGAATGGAGTCTAAAGAAGCCATACAAACAAAGAAATGCAACCTCTGTTGGGACACTAAATTTCCGAACAACCTGAAGTGTTATACAAAGTGTCCCCAGTAGAATGTTGGAACAAACAACTGCTCAAAGTAATTAAGCTTTAGAAAGGGCGCAAGTGCAACTAAAGTATTTATATACTGAACATAAACCTTTCGTGTATGGATAGACTCCCTTGCACAAGTAAATCAAACACATGGATGTAGCACAATTGTATGGTAGGCAGTAAGATTGACCAATTACTATAAAATCTTAACTTGTTATGCTGTGTTTGGTTCACTGGAATGAAAGTGGAATTGAATGGAATGCTCATTCCTTAACCTCCTTACAGAATGTCCATTCACTTACAAATACAATGGTGAATGATGATTCCATTTGCAATGTATTTTCATCCTTTTTTTAGTGAATTAAACATGAGAATAGACATTATGATGGAATGATCATTCTTTTCCACCATAATTCCAATGAACCAAACACAACCTTAGAGAAAATGTACCTTTCAAGTATTTATATACTCAACTAGGATAAAAGGGATCTTAACATATACAAACAAATCCCATCACTTACTTAACAATCAAAGCAATAAGAAACTCAAAAACAACACCCTAAATGAACGACACGGGGGAAATTTAACATGACAAGGCATGTCATTCCTGTTATGCAATAGAAGCTTCTTTGATACAACAAATCAAATGGTTACTACAAAGATTAAGAAAATGTGGCTTCAAGTAGCAAAAAAATATACCTCCTGTGAAGAAAAAGCTGTTTGCAGAAAAGGGATTCGCAATAATGGTTTCATGACCCACCAAAAGCACAAGATCCAGTTGCATAAAATAGCAAACCAGTTGTTACAGTTTGAGATGAGTAGAATGGTAACCTACAGTATGTGATACAATGGAAACCAGAAGCAACATCTCGCAATAGAAAAAAGAAGCTGTCAAGTTCAAGTTTCATGGTACTGTTGCTACTTTATAAAAGCTTACCCACATCAAGTGTTGAGAACCTCTAAAAAGCCAGTCATGATATGGACTATTGTAACCATTAAGTGCTTCCTTCAAACCCAAAGCCATGTCAAAAAATGCCACAAAAGCTCATAGAGCAGGTATAACATGCAGAAACACCATCTCTAAAAAGTATATCTGCAAAATATTAGTCAATCATTAATTTATAGAACAACTTTCTTCATTCAAAAAAGTAAAGGAAAACCATTCCTTGGTAATTTTTAAATGAAATAAACTACTCAACTACACGGCATAACATGGAATATTTGTTGCGTGGTTCAGAAATTAAACAGTGGCAAAAGTTGATGGGGGGGAAAAAAAAATGCAGAAACACCCCCAAAATTAAAGAAAGTCAATAGACCAATAGCATACTAATATTTTGGTCCCAATAAAAACCAGAATCGAAGTGGAAACAGACAAAGGTTATTAGCAAAGGAGGGGAAAATAAAAACAAAAGCAAAAGAAGAAAATAATAAGAATATGGTTCTTCCATTGTAACTTACAAGTACAACATTTATAACTTATGAATACAAAGTGTCTTATATTACTTGGGTATTCAAATTCTGTCAATTATCATGTGCCACCCGATATATGATAGTGGAAACAGGAGCTTGTAGCTTTCTCTTGTTCCTTTCTACCACAATGTCTCTCCTCCTCTCTTCTTTGTTCTTTCCGTCATTCTCTCGTACACCTTACTTTTTTATATTTGTTTAATCATAAAAGAATCAAGTGGAACAAATTTCAAAAATTAACTAGCAACACTGTTGTGGCCAATGGGAAAGTGAAAGAGAAATCTTGATGAAAACCAGCCATCCTCACCCTAGATTTTCCAGAGACTAAAAAACACCAGAAAAGACTCAAAACTTTATAATAGCAACACTGGAATCGTTTAGCTAAAAAGATTTCCCACAAAATATAGTAAATATCAAATTTGATTTTGGAAATACACATATTGCTTTTCACAGCAAAAGTCAAAGTAATGCTTACTCTAAAAGGCAAAGTAGGTACTTCTAAATGCAAACCAAATGGTACATCTGCAATCAGCATACAGTTGTTGAGATTGAGAAAAGAAATGTGAGGTGTGCAGTGTGCTGAAATTCCTAACTTTTATCAGCAAGCTTCGCAGGAAACAAAGATAAAAGAATAAGACAATAGAATTACCAAACTCAAGTGATTGTAGTATCATATTCGAACAGTGCTAAACTTTCCCAGAAAGCAAACAAAGATGACGTACCGTCCTAGTTCCTCCGGCAGTCCTTTTAGTAATTCCAAGTAGAGTGATCATAACCAAAGCCATTATATTGATTCCAAAACCTAGCACCGTAGAAACTGTTAAAGGAAAACATATCATAACTACATATAATTTAGTGCTGAAGAGCAATGCAAAATCAATCATTTAAAAAGGGGGGGGGGGGGTATATGTTGCGGAAACACACTGAGAATCCATTTCCATCCCAAACCTGAAAACCAGAGAGAAAAGTGACTATATTTTCGATAATATCACACAAAAATCATGTGTGCTCAACAATTCAAAACCAGCACATTGTTATGTGTTTGTGAACTCATTAATGAATGAAAACACAAAAAGGTAGTAAGACATATAGTAAAAAAACTTGTATTAGACCCACTTCAGTAGTTCAGTGAAGTTGATTACTTTCTCGGGTCTCAAATTATGGAGAATTTCAAATGGGTGATCAAAAGATCGAATCACTATGCATATCTTGATGGTCATTACTTTTTGTGGTCTTTCTTTTTGGTAGACGACTCCTGTTCCTATTCTATTGATCAAAAGCATCCAGCAGTGCCAATTCAGTTCTAAGAACTAAGGCTCCCCTTATGCTCCCCCTTCCCCCATTTCTTTCCCCCCTGACCGTGTGTGGGCCACACTTTAAAAATGCCCTATGGGGGCCCTTCACTTACCTGTGTAAGCTCCCCACCAGCTCACGCTCCTTTGACCAACAACCCAGCGTTTCACCGTTTGATCGATACATGAATAAACAACATACATCAATAATTACTCAATTGATCTGAGGTACTATATGCTGGACTAAAGACCATCCTTCGAGGATAGAGGGTCATCTAGACTCTCCGCCCCCTGCATCTATGAGCTAACATTTGGTCATTTATGCAAGAACATATATAACTTTAAGTAACGCATTAGCTTAAATCTCTTTTGGGGAATCACTAGAATCATCCCTAACAAAAATGTTTAAATGTTATTGAGTTTCAAAAGCCATAATGCTCAAGAAACAAGACTTAAATGAAGTATGGTAGCTTGCAGTTGACAAAAAGCAATTCTTGCCCATGATCATTCTTCCATGATGTAACTTGACCACCATACAGATACACCTGTTTAAACAAACAAATATGAATGTGATAAGATTGTTAACATATATGCTTTTGAAACTAATGTGACAAGACAATTCAATAATTTAATTCAAGTCCAAAGTGCACAATATAACTTCATTGGCACTGAAGTTGGAACACAATCAGAAACCGAATAGTGCATTGAAAAATTAATCAAGAAAGAAGCAGAAGGACAAGATGTTCTATAGGGGATGAATATGACACTTGGTAGTCAGCCAAGGCAGTCCATGTGTGTGAACCCTATATGCCGCTGAAGTTGCATTCAACTATGTACATGAATCACTATTCAACCAATTTTTTTTTTTTTTTTTAAAGCATCAAAGAATATTATTATGCATAAGCAAGAAAAGAGAAAGAGAACAAGGAGTCCTCAAGCAAGAAGTTCCACAGCAACAACAAAAACAAAATAAACAAGGAACCCAAAAATAGGAATGGCAAACAGCAGCCCAACCCCTAGAAATAGACACAAAACCAAACTTTTCTGTCAGATTGGCAAAGAACAGTAAGGATTTGAAAGGGTTGGTGCTTAAATGACACATCAAAAGGGAGGAGATTTTTTAGTAAAGATGCAAGGGAGAGCACAAATACATGGATTTGAAAGGGTTGGAGAAAAAATGACACATCGTAAGGGAGGATTTACTTGAGTAAAGATGCAAGGGCAGGCGTATATACAACACAGGTTTGGATACTTTCTATAAACACATTTACCTATTGTTTAAACTCTTTACCAATCTGAGAACATTACATTTCAGTTCAAGTGTTCCATAACAGTTATGACCATATATCAGAAATGCATACAATCTTCCTGACTAAAGAATGGTGGGTGGGTATACCTCATCTCATTTACTAGATAAACTGAGTACATTTGTACAAGAGCAACCCTAAGGTGATAAGATTTTGGTTCACACATAAGGAAAAATAAGAAATGGATTGATAGAGAGAAGAGAAAAAGGGGGCTCGCTGTACATAGATTTAAGATACATTTTGTGTTGTATTCAGCAAACTCACCTATTGTGTTTTTTTTTTTTTTTTGGATAAATAAAGCACTTTATTAGAAAAGCATCAAGATGATGCAACAAATACAAAATGAAATCCCAAATGGGGAAACCCAAACCGAGCACTACCCAATTATATCATCTAGAAAATCTAAAAAAGCAAACAAATCAGGATCAACTGTTTTCTCCAACCAACTACACATAACTACAAGAAGCCGATCCTGCAACCAAGGAACACCATGATAAACCTCATGAAAAGTTCGTCTATTGCGCTTCAACCATACAAGCCACATCAAACAAAACAGCACCAACAACCACACTCACCTCCATCGACGTCCAATCCGAGCACCCCGCCAAGCCCAAAGCATATCGAACTCCCCTCGAAGTTGAACCCAAACAACCCCAAAGAGTGAGAAAATAAAACCCCACAGTCGCGAGGCCACCGACTCCGAAGTGGCACAACACATACAGTACCAATTCACTAACACATGCCCATGCCTGATCAAATTATCAAAAGTAAGATTCTGCGCCAAAGTAGCTGTCCACATAAAGAAAGCCACTTTAGACGGGACGCTCGGCACCCAAACACTCTTCCAAGGAAACATCCTAACACACTCCCCCACCAAACCCCCATAGATTGAAGAAACTGTGAACTGACGCTGAACCCTTACCCCATTCCACACCATGGCATCGGACCCCATACAGTAAGACCCAAACCATACAAGAAACCCCACAACTACACCAACTGAGTCACCTCTCAGTCTTGCACCTGCCATCGCAACTTAATATCCCATACCACCACACCCCCTCCCCTCAAATAAGACACCACCGTAGCCTCCCGATCAACCACAATGGTGAAGATCAAAGGAAACTGGGATCTCCAATGAAACCTCTCCACTCCATTTATCCTTCCAAAACCTTACCCTCACTCTATCTCCCACCCTAAATCCTACCCACCTCCAAAACTCCACCCTCCCCAGCCAAATCCCTTTCCACAACCCACAACCATGGGAACTAGTCACATCCTCAGTAACCCAATCCCCCATACCCAAACCAAGCTTGAAAGCGATCACCTTTCGCCATAATCGATCCTGCTCCAAAGCAAAACGCCACAACCACTTTCTTAACAAGGCCTTAATGAAAGTCACCAACCGCCGAACCCCCAAGCCCTCTGCTTGCTTAGATTGACAAATCCTCCCCCAATCAACCAAGTGATACCTGAATTCGTCTCCGCCACTTCCCCACAGAAAGTCCCTTTGGAGCCTCTCCAACCGCATTCCCAGCGACACTAGAATAACATGGACGAACATAAAATAGGTCAGAATACCACTCAAAACACTTTTGATCAGCGTCAATCTCCCTCATTTCGAGAGATACTGCCTCTTCCAACCCGCCAAACGACGTTGAACCCGCTCCATCACTCCATCCCATACTCCTTGATGTAACTTGACTACTTTATTAATGTGATACACCATACAAATACACCTGTTTAAACAAACAAATAAGTTATGTTCTTGTCTAGCTTATATTCCTTTGAATGTAATAAAACCCTTGGTCATCTGTTCTTGTACATATAGTTTTGATTCAAGAAATTTTGTTTCACGTTCTAGATTATTTTATAAAAATACTCAATTGATTACATTCCAAAATTACAATTTGATGCGTGTATATGCATACCTCTATATAGCTTATAATTGATTCTTGAAAATCAATTTAGGTTTTGATGAACTTATAATGATCTATAAACCCTAATGTGCCCTAATGTGATGTGTTTAATTTCATGCTATGTTACATGGACTCAAGTTTAAGTATTAGGTGTGGGTATCCAAGTGTCGACCTTCATAAATTTCAATTTTAGGATCTTGGACGGATATGGGTATGGGATGTGTCATATACACATATATTACATATTATGTAATATTCTCGGATGAGGTGTTGTAAATTATGTAGAAATACTAGAAATTAAATAGGATTCAGGCAAAATATGAAATTTTTATATGGAATTTATGTGAGAGACTAAAACTATTGCTTTACTAGCAAATGTGAGTTTCTTCCTCTTCATCTATTGTAACAAATTAAAGGGTCCAAGTGTCTAAATTGACATTTATTTGTTATTTCCTTGTCTTGATTTTAATTTTGGTTTCTTATTTGAAATAGATGATGTTGTGGAGAACACACCAAAGCCTTACTATTGTTGTTTGTGCAACAAAAGTTATAAGCACATTCGTGGGTTTCAAACTCATAATCATAGGCGACACAAGGATAAGCATGTTGAATGTGGTATATGCCACAACATGTTTTCTAGAAGGCCGCACGAGAGGATCGTCGGCGTAAGGAGCATGGCCATCACAGGTTACACAAACACTTCATCATGGTTTTATGTTTATGTACTTATTTGAACTCCATTGGGGTAAATGTGCTGAAAGGCTTTGTCTTCATCTTACAAAATTGTAGGATTAGAAAGGACATTTAAATTGATATGCACCATGGATCATTGGATCGTATTGGTTCAGATATTGAAGTAGTGGTATTACTTGCTTTGGTTTTGTTTGTTTGTTTTCTTTTTTACATTGTTACTAATGGACATCCCTATACATGGTACAAATTTGTATACCCGTTTGTTTGATTCCTCATTTTATTTTGTAGTTTCCAAGTTTCTGGAATGATTAGCATAACTTTTGTTCTCTACTGTATGAACTAGGATGTAAAGTAGGTTCTTTACTACCCTTTCTTGTTTTCTTTTTTTGGTTTTGACACATCCGTACCTATCACTAAATTGAATCCAATTATGTTTATATCAACTGGGGAGGTTATGGAACAACTTCTTACCTGACAGTGCGGCAATGTGGCCTTGTCAGAATAAAATCTGCTCAATTATGATCCCCATAACTGCCTGCCTTGCTCTGTGACTTCTGATACTTCTAGCATATTCTGTTGCTGTTGGCTATTCCATCCTAACCATCTAGGCCAGAATCCCTATGTCTTACCCTTTTATTTGCACCACCTTTTGTTCCATCATTTGATTCATTAATGTTTTGCATATTTTCCTCACATCTAATCTCATCTTGGAAGTTGTTTCACGTGATGTTTGTCGCAGTTGAAAATTAAAATATTCAGAGTCTCCAAATTGCAAAAATTATTCTGCCTGCCTTCCTCTATGACTTCTAATACTTTTAGCATATTCGGTTGTTTCATTAAAGCCTCTATTTTCTGCAAAAATTATTTCCTTCACATTTCTCAGTTGTCCTTACTCTATTTTATGCTTGTCTACTGTCAAGCCTTTATGATCCATGGTGCATATCAATTTAAATGTCCTTCCTAATCCTACAATTTTGTAAGATGAAGACAAAGCCTTTCAGCACATTTACCCCAATGGAGTTCAAATAAGCACATAAACATAAAACCATGATGAAATGTTTGTGTAACCTGTGATGGCCATGCTCCTTATGCCGACGATCCTCTCGTGCGGCCTTCGTAAAAAACATGTTGTGGCATATACCACATTCAACATGCTTATCCTTGTGTCGCCTATGATTATGAGTTTGAAACCCACAAATGTGCTCATAACTTTTGTTGCACGAACAACAATAGTAAGGCTTTGGTGTGTTCTCCATAACATCATCTATTTCAAATAAGAAACCAAAAATTAAAATCAAGACAAGGAAATAACAAATAAATGTCAATTTAGACACTCAGACTCTTTAATTTGTTACAATAGATGAAGAAGAAGAAACTCACATTTGCTAGTAAAGCAATAGTTTTAGTCTCTCACATGAATTCTATATAAAAATTTCATATTTTGCTTGAATCCTATTTAATTTCTAGTATTTCTACATAATTTACAACACCTCATCCGAGAATATTATATAATATGTGATATATATGTGTATATGACACACCCCATACCCATATCCGTCCAAGATCCTAAAATTGAAATTTATTAAGGTCGACCCGATACTCGAACTTGAGTCCATGTAATATAGCATG